ACAGGTGAGTCAATGTGTAGTGTATTGAGTAGTATTGTCTACACTCCCTGAGAATTATCTCAGGTATATCAATGTGTAGTGTACTGAGTGGTATTGTCTACACTCACTGAGAATTATCTCAGGTGAGTCAATGTGTAGTGTATTGAGTAGTATTGTCTACACTCCCTGAGAATTATCTCAGGTATATCAATGTGTAGTGTATTGAGTAGTATTGTCTACACTCCCTGAGAATTATCTCAGGTATATCAATGTGCAGTGTACTGAGTGGTATTGTCTACACTATCTGAGAATTATCACAGGTAAATCAATGTGTAGTGTACTGAGTGGTATTGTCTACACTCTCTGAGAATTATCTCAGATAAATCAACGTGTAGTGTACTGAGTTGTATTGTCTACACTCTCTGAGAATTATCTCAGGTATATCAATGTGTAGTGCACTGAGTGGTATTGTCTACACTCACTGAGATTTATTTAAGTCCGCATGGATTGTATATATTACATACATATTACCTTTTTAGATAATCCAGTAAATTGATCTTCAACAAGTCATCAATACGTATTACACGCATGTTTTTGAATATATCAATTTCACTTATAAATATGCAGAGGTAATTTTTTCTACAAATAAATTGCTAACCTCCATGTCAATTAAAGTTGTTAAAATATGTTTGGAATACGTTAAATATAATATTTCTCTGTGACTACATCATGTTACAATATGTTACACAGATCAAAATACAAATATTATCTTCGTATTGAAAACTTATCCCAACAATGTATTTGGAACACGTTTATTTGGCATCCCTAACGTGTTTTAATTCGTGGTCAGCTTTCTGGCACTTTTAAAACGTGTTTTTTTTCTGTTTTAATATCACTTTTTAGTGCGTTGTAAATTACACATTATACTATGCAATCTGTCTTTTTTGGAAATTAAGTCGATTAATATGATTTTATATATGTATCGACGTTGTCGCTAACAAGTAACTACAAAAATATCTACATAATGTCCCAGAGCCATGTTTTTATTTTACCACGGATGCACGGATGTTTCTGGTGTTGTATCATATCTTTACATTTGATGCTTTAAAGTTATGTCTGTGTCTGAATGTTATGTTTAAAGTTATTACATTTCCAAAAGATTTGGATAACTTTATTTTATACCAATATAAAATAAAGTTATCCAAATTATTTGTATATTCGCATCTACTTAATTACGTTTTTAAAAAGCAGTTAAATCTAAGAGTTTTTGAAGACACTTGTTGAAGGCCGTATTCAGTGATATCAGCAGGGATTGTTCTTCGTAATGTAGCCTGTCCTTACAGCGAGTGTTCGTCTGAGTTCTTATGTCATGTTTTGTGTTACAGCTACTGCATCTTTAGAACCCAGATCGAACGGCAAGATGAGTGGCATCAGTTTTGGATTCATGGTATGCATGGTGTTTCTCGCGGTAACTGTCGGCATTGTGTTATGCTTAGTAATACAACCTGGTAAAATTAATTCTGATATCACCGATGATGACTACAAGCCAGCATACTATGAAACACAAGATGTAATCGCCGATTTATTAAGGTTGGTTATAACCTGAGAAGGGAAGTGATTTATAAAACGTATATATAGAGCCTGGTGTTTTACACCACATAACACATCATGACACACACACAAACACGATTTATTTAAAATTGGATTAGAAAGAGCATTGTAATAATAAAGTTGTACGAACTCGATAATGTATATAACTTGTATATCGTGCCTATTTAATAATTTAATTAGAAAGAAAGAAATTTTGAGCATGGTTCTCTTTTTGTAAAGTAATTGAACATTACACGTATTAATTGTAGTATCTCTACTACTGTCAGCCTTTAATGGCGACTACATAACACCGTCCATTCTATGCTCGCACCATAGTTTGTCACAGTGCAGTATCATTGGTTACTCTCTTATAAACCATAAATCTGTTTTATATTTCGTGTATTTTTGGTAAAAACGTTTGTTCTGTATTAGTGTCGATTATGACAATGTTGTAATCTTGTTTTTTCAATGTTCTATTTCCAGAAATATGATTACAGATAATATTGTCAAAGCCTGTCTGCAATCCGTAAGTAAACAGTTTACTAGTACTTAGAGAACTGTTGGGTTTTCTCAAATGTGCCATTGTTTGGTAAATTAATTATAGCACAGCAAGTGTTGTTATAGTTTTAGTGTTTATTTGCAATATGACTGGGCTCGATTTACACAATTTCACATGCTCATATTGTGAAGTATGGCGGAAATTAATAATGAATGCAGTCTTAGTCAATGAATCTTAAGATTAAAATAATACATTGACATCTACTAAGATCTTCCCAGCTGCATCGTTATAGTTACATTTATTTTTAAAGATTTACACTGCATATACCTTTGAAGAAACTAACAGCACAGACACCAATACTACGGAGTTACAAGTCGCGTCCAAATCAAGCGAATATGGATCTGGTACTAATCTGCTTGGTAAGGATTCTCTTGGTTATTAGTTACTCAATTGTGTGCGGAATTAGAAAGAATGTATGCAATCACTCATTGTTTGGTTCATTTTGTTATTTTTGTTGATATTGCAGGTGTGTTAATATTTTCTGCTGCGTTCGGCGCTGCTATGTGCGTCCAGAAGGAAGAGACACGTGCCATGTTCAATTTCATGTGGGCACTTCGGACGATATCATTGAAGATCCTTACTGTGTTTTTATGGTATGTATGTATGTGTACTGAATTTTGCGAATGTTGATTATCATCTGTGTGACGCGCTAGAATAATTGAAAGCACCACTATGCAGTGTTCTAGGCTATTTTATGATTTGATGCACCCTGGGAGACCCGAATCTAAGCTATTATTTATATTCCTTTTCATACAAATTGCTTTCGAAGAAGCAATATGTATTTTAGACGCATTTTGCTAAAACCCATATGATGTGATTGGTTGCGTGAAAAAAGAAATGGCATGTTCAACAAATACCTCTTCGTAGCGGTAAATCAGGGCGAATTTGCGTTTTATAGTAGTTTGCTAATATAGCAATTTGTAAAAGGACGTTTTAACATATATTATAAACACATATTTTAAGTTGTAATATCTTTTTACAAGGAGGTCCAGATATGTGCTTTCCAGTGAGGTACAATGAAATAATAATGACTAGATATGGTTTAGAATTACACAAATATATCATATAAAGTGGCAATATTTCGATATAAAAGGTATTTATAAATGATTAGAGACTCGCAACAACCACCCTAAATTACACAACAATAGTTCTGTGGAATTTTGGATATGACCCAACACGTCTAGTTTAGTTTTGTTTTGTCTTTGTTTCTCATTTTGTTTCTTTTGATTTCCTGTAATTGGTTGTTGACTAGTGATCCACAAAGCCACTTTCACCATCACTCTCTAAGAATTAAGCACAATACCTCATACTAGCGTTGGTATTCTCCTGTATTCAAATTATCATACTATAAGCTCTGATATTAGTGTAATAAAATTATTGTGATGTTGTATTACAGGTGTTTACCTATTGGGACCGCTAGTCTAATTTGCACCTCACTGCTTGGAGTTGATGACATAACCGCCGTCTGGGAGTCTCTGGGTAAATTTGTTGGTACAGTGATCGCAGGCCTCGCCATCCACGCTTTTATCACACTATCTCTCACCTTCTTTATTGTGACAAGACAGAACCCATATGTTTTCCAGTTTCGCTGTCTGAAGGCTATTGTTATGGCAATGATCACCAAAACAAAGTGAGAATCAACAACGATTAAACCTTTTACTGCGCCCTCTAGTGACGATGATGTCAAAATAACGTAGTTAAAGTGAAAGAAATATCGCATTGTGTAATTGTGATCGTTCTTCGAAATATAATTAATCTCTGAAACACATTTTTCACTGACGGACAACGACATATGAACACAATATCGCAACTTTCATCTATTTACGTTGTTGCTATGGTTTAAATCCATTGTCTTCGAAATGCGATGTTGTCTACCACTGTTCGCTTTCCTTGTCATAACGAGGGCACATTTGAATCGCAAATCAAATATCCAATCAAAAACCACTGCACACGTGCACGGTACTGCGTTCTTAATTTCCGCGGCATATTCTGTTGTCGGGTGTCTGATTTCAGTAAACATGTTATTCTTTGTTTTATTTTAATGTAAGTGCTGCCACATTACCAGTGATTTTTAAAGTCTGTGAAGTCAACAACAACATCCACAAAACTGTTAGCAACTACGTGGTGCCGTTGAACGTATCGTTTAAGAGCGATGGGTCGGCAGTGTTCATCGTTAGCGGCGCTATGTGGTTGGCACAAAGTGAGAACATGCAATTGAATGCAGGGCAAGTCATCACAATGGGGTGAGTTATGAACATAAAATAAATATTGTAATGACTTGTAAATATAGTAATCAATTAATCAATCAATCAGTGAATCAATCAATCAATAAATCAAACAGTTGATCAATCATTCTGTCTGTTCATCTATCCGCATTTATGTATGTCAACCAGTCAGTCAGTCAGTCAGTCAGTCAGTCAGTCAGTCAGTCTGTCAGTCTGTCAGTCAGTCAGTCTGTCAGTCAGTCAGTCAGTCTGTCAGTTGGCTTGTTGGTCAATAGGCCAGACAGTCAATCAGTCGGTAAATTTTGTCAGCCAGTCAGTTCAGCCAGTCATCGTTGATTTGACTTGGGACATATACTATTTTTATAACCAAATATTTTATTCCGTTACTATATGATCTAAACAAAACGAAAGTGTCATGTATTTTCTCATTATATCCTCTCCCATCGACAATATGCTTGCATGATGTGCCAAACATAACGATATCGTACAATATGCGATTACTTACAGAATTGTAGCATGGGTAATGGGACTTAGTCTTCCAGCAGTTCCAAGCGCAAGTCTCGTTGCCATAGTGACCGTCTGTAGCTCGGTCGGTGTACCTTCATACAACATCGGTCTCCTTATTTCCATGGAATGGTTATTGTAAGTAAATTTAATTAATTTCAAACCAAATTTTAACTTAAATGTCATCATTCATACATTTAATGGTATAGAACCGTGCAGTAAAAACGGAGATAGTGAAGGCGTGTTTATAGTCACATATTCGTTCTTGGGGTATATACGCCGCATATAAAGTATATAACGCATACAACACAGAGATAATTGTTATAATATGTATTTCCACATTCCAGAGATTCTTTACGGACAGGTGTCAATTGTATCAGTCACTGTTCATGCGCTGGTATTGTCAACAGTATAATGGCGGATACTATAGAATCAGCTGAGAGCGAGTTGGAGAAATTAAAAGCGGTCGAAGAACACGATCTGGAAGACCTAAAACAAAGCGGTGTAGTGAATTTAGCTATAAACAAAGATGGGGAAACAGCTGGTTCATTTAGACAATACACGCAATAATCTCACATGTGATCATTATTTTTTTCTTCTTTGGTGCATTGTTAAGATACAAATGACACATGTCATACCAGGAACGTCGGTTTGTGCGCTACACGTGGTGGATTATACAACTTGTATGTTGATTTCTCGTATAGAAATTTCAATAAAGCATCACTGTAATATATTATTCACCTTTGGGAAAGAGTTGAACAACGCCTCTGATAATTACATTGAATGTATCTCATGAATCAAAACAAATCGAAGGGAGTATATATGACTTGTTGTATCCATGCTTACAGTGCTCAATTTTCTTATCGCTTCATGTTGGTATTACATAGTTTGTGAATTACTGTGATCATGGTAGCCTACTGAAATTTCAGTCACTGAATTTTCAGTGGAAGTCAACTGTCAAGACCAGGTGTCAAGACTATATGATAGGTGACCAGGGGTCATCAAAGGTCATTAGACATTACTTTGGGTGAATACAAAATAGTATATAATCTTTATCACAAATTTAATCAAGTGTAACTTCTCAACCGCTTTCTGTCAGGTTTAGTGATTTTATAACTGACAATGTGAACACGTAGAAAAAGATTAATAACACAGAGACCGTTATCACTCATATAAATATTAAACTCACTTATGGTGGAAATATAGTGTTCTGCGGAGAATTTCAATTTTAGCGTAGATTTTGCCAGGTTTACTATTTTTCATTCTAGTTTTTCATACTGTCACTATTTAACCAATCAAGTTAATTGTTTAAAAACAATACTTACATACCCAGTGGTGATTACAGTAAATTATTTGTTTTTTTAAACTTTTTGGCAATACGGCAGTATATCAATTAGGATATATACATATACATTATAGTCACATTTGTTTTCAAAACGTTCATTTTTTATGAAAAATTTACCGTTTGTTTGATATTAAAGTATAATTCGATTAATAAGTTTTGTGCCATGGTCGTATATTCAATCTCATAATTACACGTTACAGGTAATTTACAGGTTATTTGTTTCATAATACAAGAATATCCGTATTAGCTGACAATACCAAGAAATTCTATAAGCCCTCATGGTTGGTTGGACGGCACGAGTAAAATAGCTTCTACTTTAGACTTGATGAAAGTCAATCTCATGACCCAAATAAATATTTTTAGTTTCACAAGTTAACTGTGCAAACCAGACTTAGCCAAATGTTTAGAGCACTCAATTCAAACAACAATTGATATTCTTCAATGCTGTAATGACAAATGACATGGTTCAATGGCCGCCAGAACAAACGCAGGAAATGAAATGCGAACAATAACGAGAATGAGATTCTTGAATTTCAAAATCAACCGAAAGATAATAAGGATACGATCGACGAAGTAACTGATGATTTGCCAGTGAGCATGGACGGCATTAATACCGTTGACGAGACGATACTAACCCGGCCCTTGTCCGTCACTCAGTGTACTGAAGAGGTATCTTTTGTAACTTCAGGTTCCCCTTCCTTTGCTTCTGTGGTGGATTCAACCTCTGGTCCAGTCCCAAAATTTATTGGTGTCTTTGACAGAAAATTTGATGAACATGCATGCTTTTTCCCTCGATGACGGGATGATGTAGAGTCGATTTCATCGGAGATTTCTCAAATGAGTAATAGTGATTCAGTTAAAGACAAACTGTTAGATCAAGCGTTGGTGTTCGCATGCATTGAAAAGTCATATAACATCGATAGAATTGTTGAATTCGTACGTGGTTTTTGTTCTGATCTGGCTTTACTCATCAGGTCTATTAATATAATATCAATATCAATCAATAATTAATATCATATCAATCACAATAATTTGTAATATGTTTATTTCCAAAGAAATAATAATAATTGGTTAATACCTATAATTGTAATAAATCATGTTGCCTGGCAGTGTAGGCTGAATGAACGGCAAAAACACAGCCGGGTGTGTCTTACAGATAAGTAGCAGTAAAGGGGCAAACCATGTGTTCAACGCATGCGCATGAGTACTTGATCATATATTATTTTACTGTGTTCTTATACCCATAATCAACAAGCTCACTTGTTCATAAATTGAGATAAGCATCCTACCTGCATTCTATTCATTGTGTTTCTACTCCAACGTGAGCGTATATGATATTGACAGATTATGGAGTCTCGTACTATGTGTCAGGTGTTTCAATTGTATGTACACATGACATGTACAACATAAAAGACCCTGAACTAGCATTATATGACCACAGTTCCGGTGGTAATAGGAATACGAAATTGTGTGGAATGTTCAATTGGGTTATTTATCTGTCGTATTAAATAAAATGGAGACAGGAAGCATATGTGTGTGACTTCACGTAATATGTAGAGCTATCTATAGAGGGCGGTGTGATCTAACGTGATATCAAAAAGAAACGTTCAATAAAGTGATTATAGCATTAAAACAGTACACCGTGGCTAATAACTCAATCAGAAGTGGTCAAGGTATTAAATATACACCTGATAAAAGTTATATTTATTGACGAAAGACTAGATAGTTTGCTATCATCGAGCACACATTATTTATTTGTCATATGTTTTATTATATCCTTATTAATCCTTTATGTTGTCACTTTAAGCTGATTAAACAGGACAGTATGGCTATGACGGACGTGTCCAGTTTACAAATGAATTTTAGGTAATAAATAGCCACACCATATTTTCTATGCATGCGCATCATTACTTCAAATTATATATTTTGTTCCTGTGTGAACTAACATGATAACAAAAAGACAAGTATTCTATCTTCGTTTAGTGATTGTTGTTTGAAGTATATATTCAAATAAGTGAAAAGCAGGAATAAACATGGTTAGAACCTTCATTTGTTTAGAAGACAGTAAATAAATTAAACTGGTCAGTCTAAAGAATTATACGAGACAGAATCCCCAATTATGGGTCTGTATAATACTTATGACATGTCAAGACTAGATACTTATTACAATATGAAACAAATCCCAATGTTACTAGTCAGCAAAGTGTGCTTCTAATGACCCGACTGTTTTGCTTGGATACTCATCGCAATGCCACTTCCTACCACTAATTTCCTGCCACTGTTTTTCAGTATCTGATTTACACGTCAAAGAAACATATGCCCACTCTTGCCTTCATCAACAACTGAGTATGTGAAACCACATTGTCAACGAGGTCTTTCAAATCCACATGCACCATCAAAGGACTAGTTTGTCTAGTCTGACGTCATCTATCAATGTGGAATTACTGTACCGTCTTCTAGACCATTTCACGCACTGTTTCCCCAAATTCTGCTGTGTCTGTGCATTTTAAAACCTTCGTATGGCAAGTATACCAGTTTCTGTTTCACAATAAACTGTTCACAATTATTCTAATATATCCCTTACTGTTTCAACGTCTACCACGGATATACACTTACAAAATCTTTTTCTCGAAAACTTTAGCACCTTTGGAAAAACCGATTGCCTCGGAATACTGACGTGACCTAACAAAACATCCATATCTGTGGCGTCGGATGGGTAGTTTGGGGCCATACCTTCCATAGGTTTGGGTTAGGCCTTCACTAGATCCTTCCGACTCACACTTAAACTGTCACATCGTCTGTTTACATCTGAGTTATTGCTAGAGATAATGTTTAAAAACGTATTTATTCGGAGATACAACGGGAATTTTCGTTTACAGCAATAGAATGTCTCGTAGTTCAAAAATAAAAAAATTCTTGTCGGCTGCTAAATGATTGATTAGTTCACAATCAAAAGAAGTGCTTACCGGCAGGACTACAAGGGATTCAAAGTTGCGCTGTGATGGCAGTACAGAACTGACAGAATCGTTCAGTAGTAACGCAAACGATGATTCTGGTTCGTACGGCGATGTTCCCCTCTGTAACGGTCAAATTCGATTGTCTAGTCCGACACGGCGGTAGTTTTCGCAGGGTACAATTCTAGAAGACGTACCTACACACGAATTGGCGACGTCACAAATGATATGCCCTCGAATCGGGGTCGTTTGTTCGGTATATACGAATTGATATAAACAAATTACAGTAAAGATACTTTAGACATTACCAATATGGTGCGGCGAATCACGTGGCAATATAATGATAATACATCGGTAATAAATCCTAGCTTGTTAAACAGAACGATCATATAGTCAGTCGGATAAACAAGCGTGCTTTTGAGATAAAAGAAAATTAGCTTGGGAAGGCATTGGGTTAGAGGCGAATAAACGAAGAAATAATAAAATAACTCCTCCCAATTTGACAACTTGTAAAGGTGGAAATTAATTAAACGCCAGGAATTTACTCGCAAATACATGAGAAACATTATTTAAACATTTATTTTCTCAATTTAACAACTTGAAAATTTTGAAATTAAGTTTTACCACCTCTTGTTTAGGGTCGGGTCAGGTAATGTCAACGCAAATGGCAAACACCAAATTAGTTTGTTCCCAAGATATACACTAATGGGTTATGGCATACATATACAATACACAAGCATAAAACCCAAAATTGGCAGTTTTATTGACAGTTGTGACTATATAATTGAATTATGTAGTATAACGTTCTATCTATCTCTCTACATCTACATCAAATGCACAGGTATGCAGTCAGTCTGCCATGGTCATTGTTGGTCATTGTCTGTTTATTTACCAGGAAGGCCTGGGTTCAAATCCCATTCTTGCATGTCTTTTCTCACAAACGCTAACATTAGTATTACAATACAGTATTTATCTGTGTGATTATACAATGTCTGCAACGTGGGAGATCGCAGGTTTAATCTAGTGGTTTGCGAGACGTTTAGATGCTACAGTTGCCCTATAAATATGACTTAAATTCAATCATCTGTAAAAGCTTCAGCACACCAAAAACTCAAACCCATGCAATTAACACGACACAACACAACACGAGAAAATACTACTATTCTATAGATTGCTAATTCCCACATTCTAACTTTTGCCTTCAAAATAATATAACATCCTTTTAGAATGCATTGATCCACATATTAGAATTGCAGAAAGTGAAGGTACGTCCTCTAGAATTGTGCCTCATGATCGTGTTCCGGTGTTCAGAGTCACCGTCATAAGAATTTAGAGCCTTTGCCGTGAGCTTTTAAAACATGTGTACTCAGCAATTGAATCATCGTTTTCGAGAGTTCCCTTTTTTGCGCGCAGAAAGGGCGTGACTTCGCCGGACGAGCCAATCACCGCAGCGCGTCTCGATAAGTGTCAATCAAAATTAGCCACAGCATTTTCATTACATTGCATATACCGTGACGGGAAACCATAATAAAATGCACGGGCCTGCAATGTCACAAGATAACGAGATATAAGGAAAACTGAACAACTAAAGGAAACAGCATAAACAGCAAGCTATAATACTTGTCTAGTTCATTTGAGCCGATGTCTCTGGAAACAATTTAAAAAAAATTAGTTACATTCAAATATCAACATATACTAACATGCTTATGTCATATAAATTAAAATAAGCTACCCGTTCATTTTCATAAATTCAGAATAATAGGTAAAGCTCGGGATCTACGCGCAACTATTTCGTTCTTCAAGCTATAACTTATCGTATAATCAATTTAAATAACATGAATCAAGTATTCGTTTAAATTATAGCTTAACAAAATCAAAATCCATTGTTACACACAATACGTTCGTGCATTGTTATCACGGGTAGTGCACATACATTTTCACAGATAGCATTCAAACAATATGAGATGATTCCATTTAACACTTAAGTGGGGGGAAATAAATCTAACTATATAATTAATAGGATATAATCTAAAGCGGGATTTTCACGGAAATTAACGAAAAAACTCATCATCATCATCCCTATTCACAAATACCAATTTGTCAAAGTTGATTGCATACCACAATATTAACAATAAAATTGAGAATAAAATTGAATTATTTTTTTAATTTTAAACAATCATTACATAGTTTGTAATTGTGGAATTGATTAAAAACTATATATTTGAGCATCTCAAATTATGAAAATTAACATTGAGCATTCTTCTTCGATGGCAAATTCAACTTGACAATAATATGCATTTTTTGTCAAATCGTTAATTTTTATTATTATACATAAACTCATATTCACACGCCTCGCCTCCCTTTGTTAGAAGAAATTACAAAATATTGAATACAGTAGTTTGACGCATTATCAAAATGTCATTATTGATCGGATTCCGACTCACATATTTTAATGTAACACACTAGTCAAATCGATCATTGCATTGTATGTCATTGGCTAATTAACATCGAAGTTAAATATTTACACCATTCACAAAATAAATTTTGATTAAGACCCGAAGCCAATAAAAATTATGTATAATTGGTCTAACAATTAACAAGAAAACATTAACCATATATTGATTCAAAACCATTGATGCGAATTTTAGTTCAAGAACATCTAACAAATGACTGACAAGCAATGACAATGTCTCAATTATTTACATGAGGAGAGCTTACCCGGTACACAGCAAACTCTCCCATCTCCACAGTAGTCAGAACAAACACCATGCCAACCTGCAGTGATCTCATCCTTATTACACTTTTTAGAACGACATGTACCACCACAAGTATGTTCACATAGTTGTGATTCGTAATCTAATATAGTTAGTATAAAACATTAACAAGAAAGTATTAACCATATATTTATTCATTAACAAGAAAATATTAACCATATATTTATTCAAAACCATTGATGCGAATTTTAGTTCAAGAACATCTTACAAATGACTGACAAGCAATGACAATGTCTCAATTATTTACATGAGGAGAGCTTACCCGGTACACAGCAAACTCTCCCATCTCCACAGTAGTCAGAACAAACACCATGCCAACCTGCAGTGATCTCATCTTTATTACACTTTTTAGAACGACATGTACCACCACAAGTATGTTCACATAGTTGTGATTCGTAATCTAATATAGTTCGTATAAAACATAGAATTATGGTTATTTAACTTGTGATGTCCACATCGACCTAATGTTCCAAACACTTGCACATTGAAAAAATTACACACTCCCCGTTAAATTTGTGAAAGTTCTCTTTGTGCTCGTCATATTAAAGCGGGGGGGGGGTGTCGCGAGTATGTCTTTGAAACTTGAGTCCCAAGTGGCGTATACAACAGATTATTTACAGCAAATTCGAACACGTGTTGCGTGACGACCTCTCAGGTTTAAGTCATAGCAAAAAAAAACATAGATCACAAGTGAAAGCATATCCAAGTTATCACATTTTAAACAAAAAGGTGGCCGCCAGTCGGCCATATTTGATCAAATTGCAAATTCAATTAACATGTATCCATTTATGGTATGCTAAATATGAATGAAAATGATACATGGGTGACAGAGATATAGTAATATGGGCAATAATAAAAACAGCCGTTATTCGGTCATCTTTGATTTGATTATGAAACAAACTGACAAGTATGATGTATGTGCCAAATACGAATGAAAATGGTACATAAATCTTGGAATTATAGTAGTAATGCCAAAAAGTCAGATGGTTGTCAATTGCCCATCCTTGGTCCGATTTTGAAACAAATTGTCATGAACAGTTATCCTAACATGTACAACCTATATACCAAGTTTGATTGAAAACTGACAAAGCATGTCCAAAATACGACATTTTCAAGATGGCTGCCAGTCATACGTGATGCAATTCTCATACAATGTGTGGCAATCCTGCAACTCAAAATAAATATTTATAGGCAGAACACTTACCTTCCACACAGCACACCCGACCTTCCCCACAGTGGTAAGAGCAGCCATATGACCAATAATAGTATGAGTTTTCCGAGGCTATCTCGCCCCTATTACATTTTTTAGCACGGCATGTTCCACCACAGTAATAATCACACTCATCAATATCTAATGCATTCATAAAACAAAACTTATATAATTAGTGAAACTGGACACGAATAGAATGTTAGTGATGGAGGATATCGAGGAGTGGACTAACCACTAACTTTCATCTATTGCTATCAATATATTTTTAGGTTGGAAATATCTTCATCTGTAAGATATGCTGTACTGGTATAAGATTTAAAACTGGAGATAAATTGAACCTTTTGTAAATCCCTTAAATTTATCCACAAAATTAAACATCAATTACTATTTAAATATACAATAATCTCAACAAATTCAAGATTCGTGGCGAGTTATATATAACTCAAGGCATATTTCGGTTCTGCTACTGATTTCAGACTGACACTATATCTCGCAAATACCACAATACTATCAAATTAGAATAGGGAAACGTTTATGCTAGATAGAGCACAACAATCTTAAAAACCTCTTTAGTTATTTCTTGCGCATTTTCGTTATTGTTAGTGTGATAATTGCTAATTAAATTAGACCATTAGGTTATCTATTTAGGTCTGTACGTAAATAGAGTATGCATTAGTTATTTATTTTAATAGTCCACTAGTTTTTTTTTATCCTATACAAAGACACAGTCCTAGACTGACTGTGACGAAGAGAATGCAATGCTGTCCTTCACTACAACAGGGGTGTAGACAGTTATGGAAGTAAATAATGTATCCATAAATGAAATTTACACTGCAAGTAATGCCCTGCCTTTGGTCTCCACAGAACTAGAGCATTAGACACTATTCAATTTAGTATAGCATAATCCATTCAGGTAAAATTAAATCATCATCATCATCATCATCATCGATAGAGCATTGATTGATAACAGGGCGGACAACAAGCTGTGCGTCAGTGGGCTTAATCTCATATAAATGTTTTTAAAGCACGTAGGTGTTACTCGATAATTTTTTATTCGATTCCTGTCTCTGTTAGCTTCATTGGGATTACCATTTACTGGCTGTTAAATTTTAAAATTCATTGTATTGACTCGATAATATTAAATATTCACTCTCGATGCATATTATGTATATGAACAGGTTGCATTCGATTTTATAATATCTTTAATAATACATTTAATACCATAAAACATTAACCGGCTGTTTTCATCGACAGGGAATTAAATACATTTTCAATTATTTCTGCCTGGCTTAGCCGCCTTGAATAAATATATGAAAATGTATGTAAAACTGTGGAAAACAGCTCATTTAAAATTTTGAATTTAATAAGGGGCAATCACGAGACCGTCTGTTTGACCTAGTTGAATGTGATATTTCTACTGTGAAGTCCGAGATATAATTGTAGTTTTGTGAATAAAAAATTTTGCAATATCTTATTTTATCTTATATGTAATTTAAAATTGTAACTGTAGCGTGACTATTTCTTCATTTATGTATTTTAAGCAGAGGACTAAATATTAATATTCATTCTGTAAATCTTAGCCAAAGATATGGAACAACATTTTTTTTATTTCTCAAGAATTTGAGGAAAGATCATTGACTTTATTGTTATGAACACTGGCTTTGTGTTTGGTAACTTGACTCACTGTTACTATGGTAACATTATTATGCCATAGTTGACACATTACACTTCATCTTATTTAGAGTTATAGGTTGGGCGTATATGCGTTTAAGTGTCAGCGGAGTCACATGAAAAGAAATATAATTCTCGCTATTTTGAAAAAAAAATGCCTTTGAAAGATGCGACATTCAAGTATTCCAAAAGGTGCTATTGAATATGATAACAGAGATTTTTTGGATTGAGTGCTCGGCTGGCTCTATTGCGTGTATTGAATATGAAAGCATTGGAAATAATACACTTGGAGAACAGGGCTCGGAATTTTTTGACCGGACAGGGACATTTTCAAACATTGGCAGTTATAGAGATTATGGTTTTCTAGCTGGTTACTAGCTTTTACAGCTGGATTCAAAATGAATGCTTGTGTTAGAATTTACAAGCTGTTCTGTCGATTCAGATAATGAAGCTTGGTGTTGATATATTGTCCGTGCTATTTGTCTAAACATTACACATGCAGCCTCTCGGCTGAGATAGCTCCGCTGTTAGCAATGCACATTTCAATTATATCATTAAAAACTGAACGAATCTAAAAGAGGTCTCCCTGAGGTGGTCCCTATATGTATAGTATCAAAGCAATCAGACTTGCGGTTTTCAACAAGAATTTGAAAACATCCCTTTTTACAAAAAATAAGAAAAATATTTATCAAAAATTGAAAATTGAAGATATCATCATGAAATGAACAAATCTGAAAGACCGCCACCTGTAGTACCTATATGTATAGTATCAAAGAGATCGGACTTGAACAAGAACTCACAAATATTATATATTACTTTTTACCAAAAATTACGAAAATATTCATCAAAATTAGATAATTGAAGATATCATCACAAAATGAATAATTGTAAGAGAGGTCATTCAATAATATAACTTTCTACCAAAGATGACCTCTCTCAGATTTGTTCATTTCGTATATATATATAATATCAAAGTAATCAGACTTGTTATGTTCAACAAGAAGTTGAAAATATCACTATTACCAAATATGACAAAATTAAAAAAAATGAATAAATAGGATTTAAAAGGATTTTCATTATTGCTTACACTGCATTTAAATTCAAATTATTAACAATTATTGTTATACCATTCTTTGTATTAATATTTATGAATTGTTCCGAGTAGGGCAGTAGCAAGTTTATCCAATTTGTTGTCGTGTATTTAAATATAGTTGAAATATATATGCAACGAATACCAAATTATTATAAGTATTTTGTCAACAGTCAATTGTAGGATATCTTTATGCTAGTGTAGTAAAAGAAAAACATTATAATAAGCTGAATACTTACTAATACTTACTGCAGCGACCTGCAAACCAAATGAACATTTATTATTTAATGATTGCAAACAATGTTGGTTAATACGCGCATGTATTCGTCATTGAATGCGTTTATTTTAGTTTAGTGTATCAATGACTCCTTCACTACAAATAATTCACGTTGATATATATATATGATACTTACACTAGCCACCAAACAGACCAAAGGTACCAGCAGACACACTACATATATACCATGCATCTTGAGTAAATATGTACGCTTAGCTTTGATCAATACACACACTTTGTCATTAATATGACGAATTTATATGTTTAATATCATCGAACACAATATGTTCGCAATGTTTATTCATAAAGGAATATTAATATTAGGTTAATACTTATTATTGGCAAACAATCATACCGTCTGGCAGTAGAGGCTGATTAAAAAATCAAAACAACACAGCGGTGTGTCCAGTTTACAAATAAGTAGTATTAAAGGGGCAAACCATATGTTCAATGCATGCGCACGTGTACTTAGAATGATTTATACTGCTTTTCTGTGTTCTTATAACCATGATCAACCTGTTCGCTTATTCACAGATTATGTTAAGCACCATATTTGATGAAATAATTTCAAATACAATATATTACAGCAGA